TATTTATTATATTGTTATATTTAATAAAAGCAAAGACAAGAAACATTATAAGTAGTATTGAATTGATTGCATTGCCACTTCCACTTGCCAGCAAAACCTCCACCCACCATCAAAAGGAGGTTTTTAGTCTGATACCAGATAGAGTGGTAGAACTGCGAGCTTGTCGTACCGGGAACACTGAGGGTCTGAAGTAATATCCTGAATCGAGTGCCCTGGTTTTCAGAATTCTTTCCAAAATTAATATTAGATAGTCAAGAAAATTAGAAAATTAACCCTAAAGCAGGGAAAAACACGATTTGACTTATTAATACTGAAATACATATTAATATTTAATTATTTCTTCAATCAATTTACTTTCTACATACACTAAAAAAAATTGTTGGAATTAATGATATAAATTAAAAAAATTTAAGTACTTTTTTAGAATGACGGAAATACTTATTTTAAATAAACAAAAAAATTACTAATTCAATAAAAGCATATTTAAGAGAAAATATATGATGATCTCACCCTAGTATATAAGCTGCAATTATTACTATAGAAATGAAATGTAAATAGCTAGAAGAATAATAGAACAACTTGCTAAAAAATATTTTAAAGTAGGAAACATTTATACTACTTCTAATTTATTAACATACGAAATTCAGTTTTTTAGTTAAAAACAGCCTAAACTATAAAATCATTTAGATCCGTAAATTTTATAAAAGAATAAAAATATAGGATTTTAAGAAAACAATCTCTAAATTAGCAATTTTAGTGTATAATTATTAATACTTGTCAACGGTAATATTTGTCATTCATAGTAATTAGTGCTGCAAAATTTATCTTAAAAAATCTATGAAGATTTTCGTATATTCGGTCCTGTCAATTAAAATAAACATAATGTTTGAGATTGCGAGACCTTTTTTCAATGTAATATAACATCTAGCAAAACAACATCATAAATTTGTCTTTTAGATATTAAAACTTCTTGCTCACAACCATCTAGCAATAGTGTCATAGGATATCTGGAAAAACCAGACAATAAACACGGGAAAATCCACTCATGAGGTATCTATACGAATTCACTCCGCTCAGTAACTACTTCAAGCAGTATGTACTAGCGGACCCCCGTCCCCTTCCACTGTCTACAAGTTGTCATGCTGTCGCCATATGCGTCAACGGCAACGAGAGCTCTTCTTGCCGTGAAGACCAAGAGACGACTACACCCTTAATTAACTATGAAGCCAAAAGAGGCGCTGCCCTCGCTCTGTAAGGGCGAAGTCTCTGATTGGACGAAAAATAAGAGAAGGGGTTCAAGTGAAGTTCATGGTCAGCAAATGTATTTAAGGGGCGCATTTTTCAATATTCATCACTCTCGATATAGTTCTTATTCAAATAAATGTCAAGTGGAAGTCAATTATCGTAGTTCAAAGCAACAGTCGTTACACGTCCTAGAAGAATGAAGACACATCTCCTTATGTCCATTAACGTAGTTCAAGAAACAGTCGTTACAAATTCAAAAGGCTCGAAGACATATCCACCTATCGGAGTCCAAAGACAAGTCGACAATTAGTTTCCATAAGTAGTATCACCACTACAATAATCAACTAAAACATAGGATTCAGAATACGTCATCGACAATCAACCAAGAAGAAGAGGCTCTCGCCAGACAGATAGTGTGGAATAATTCCAAGCTCGTCGTCAAGGTCGCATTAACTAATGCGAGAGTTGCCGGTCTTACCCTCACCTTTGTTCAAAGACTGACGCTTATGAATCCACAGCATGTTATTCAGCGCTCGTAGCAGACGCAACACGAAGCAGTACCCTTGTTCGAGATTGCAGTTCCATGAATTTTAGAAAAAGTAGGTCATACGCGCTGTGCGGCGTAAGGTACGCGCGCTCGGGCCGAGACACCCACTCGGGCGAATGTTTATAAACAAAACTCGGTAAGTCCGAACAAGTTTTACGACATGAAATCTAATATACTATAAGATCGAAAAACCGTCAATTTCGCATTCCCTGAAGCAATCGATATGTGATGAGCACGTGGTCGTGCATTCCCTAAAACAGTCGACTCAATGACGCAACAAGTCAAGGTCATCCTCAAGGCCAGACTTACAGTATAGCGACTGATCGACAAGAAGGACATTTCATTAAATCCTTCAGAGTTCTAAGGCTTATAATTAAAGACACTTGTGTGTGACTAGCTCTTCTAAAGCCCCCATAAATAATTAAAGACACAATTGATTACTTAATAAATTCCATTAAACATCTTACACCATATCAAGTATAGTTATTCATACATCAAGCATACTTGATTCAACTATCATCTTCTCATGCTACCTCACAAGCATGATTGATTGACTACACCAGCTGATATTTACAACATCAGCAATACCTCAACTTCAAGATACTCAGTCATCTCCATGGAAGCTACAATAATCAAGAATACAAGAACACACCCTCATTACTTCAATAGAATTATCTCACACTACATAACAGTCCAATATTATTATAATCATTTACAAATAATAAACCTTGTTTTATTTAACACATGATATTTTTCAGCCTTATCACTTATTATTTCCTTTGAAGTTATCCTGTCGAGAGACTAATCCACTGAACTATTGAATTGGTTAGTTTGAACCATAAACTAAAAATTTAAAATCGAACAACCCTTCATGAGGTAAACTCTTCAAACTCTTACTTCCATCTGAATTTATTGCAGTACGCCAATATCAGGACAAGGTACGCTTGCTACGCTACGAGTATATCCCTCAAGTAACAACAGTTACATGTGTCCTTCTCCATTACAACCATAACCTCAACTACGCACGTCTCATACAAACAGCGCGAATGTCGACGAATCCAACTTCGCGTCATTCTGCGCTCATATTCAACCCATCACGCTGCATAGATGAGTGTACATTAATCCACGACAAGAGTTATTTCAATAATTAATAATAATAATAGTAATACTAGTCAAGCCTTGTCATCAAATAAATAACAGAATAAACAGCATATACATCAGCGATATTTATATTGTATTATTATAATATCCCTTCCACTTGTGACCTTCCATCGCTATCACACAACACCCGTGGTCTCTGAGTTGTCAACGGCATCAATTTGTATCCTTCGAACCGGCCTTGGTAAAACAAGCCGGAATGGCGAATGCATTTTGTACACATAAAAATTAAATGTTTTATCTTTGTATTTTTTTAAATTTAAATTTTTTATATTACTTTTATCTATAGTACATCTTTGCAAATTAAAAATTTATTATATCAATTAAAACACTATTATAATATCATACATGTTATTACTCGATCATAGTAAGTTATTTTATTACAAATTTTTAATTTTAAATAATGTTTGAAAAATTTTCATTAAAATTAGTTTACTTATTATAGATTTTTTTTCAGATACTGTGAGTTAGTTTTATTATATGACAGAGAAACCAAATAATTCAAAATCATGAATTTTACTATATGATAACTTAACTCCTTTTAAATTTATACTAGAAAGTATTGATCGAGTTTTTATTCATATATAATCTCTTTCCGTCCTTTTATATAATTTGTACTTCTACAGAAAATGCTGAAAACCTCTAAAAATGTAATATTTTACTTCTACAATTCAATTTATAAATATGTATAATTAATTTTTTTTACATTAATTCATCAAAACTGTCTAATAATAGAGTACCGGGCTAGGAGGGCCAAATATCTACAGTTAGGTGTAAACTCCCAGATGGTGGAAGGGAGGATTGCGGGCAAGTGGACGGGATAGTGCATGTACTCAATAATAAATAGCATTGGTATTTGTTTTAGTTTATTGCGATAATTGCATTAGTTGTATTATAATGATTTTTAGTTTATGCTTGAATGCCTTCGTTTCTTGAGTTTTGCATTGCTATTGCCACAGAGCTGTAATGTGCGTTGCATGTACAGGTAGAAGGGCGTAACCTTCTGATCCTCTATATGTAATGCACGCGGTGGTGGAGTTATACACGTAGAAGAACAAGGTCATAAACCCCCGCGCTTCTTCGTGTAGTGACACGTGGCAGTTGCTTGGTATTGCCTTGTTATTGTCTTATTGTTTACCTTGTAGACTCTGCAGGTTGTGCTCTTGGTGGCACTTCATCTTAGTCTGCAGATATTGCCGCGTACGGCGCCTCGTAAGTCTCTCTTGTGGGAACTAAACTTGCCCCTTATGCGTTTGCAGATTGTGTGAGCTTGGTCGGTACTATAGTTCTTTGTCTTGTGAGGCATATTATGTATTATTATTGTTATTAAGGAATGGAACTTTTACCTTGTGAGTTCTGCAGATTTTGTGCTCTTGATGTGAGCTAGTGATGTCTGCAGGTTGTGCCTCGTGCGGCAGCTTGTAGTTTATGTTTTGTGTTTTTCTGGCTATACCTCGTATTGTTTGCTGAATTTGCCTCGAGCGGCTCCTTATCGGTTGTGATTATATTGTGCATTGTGCACCACTGTTTACTTGTTCCCTTTTCCTTGTCTTGCACTGCTGCGAGTGTATGATTTGATTTGCACTTATCTTGCACTTGTTATGAGTTGGATATGACTAGGCCTTGCCTCTTAATCGGCCTTTACTGTGTATGTCTACATCCTTGTTATTTAACGTTCCTTTCGAGAAGAAGCCTTTCCGGCTTCTCTTGTGAGAAGAGAGTTATGTGCGCCTTGCTGGCGTCTTTCTTAAAAGCATTCTCGGCCACCGGTTGGTCCTTATGAATTTCCTTCTTCTTGGCGTTTCCAATAATAGCGCCTCTTTTTGGACGTCTCCAATTGAATTGATTCTTTCATTATTGGTGGCTCCAATCAGAGCCATATATAATTCAATTACATACAGTTTTTAAATAAAAAGATGATACTTATAAAAATCGATTAATAAAAGTGAAAAAATATATCTATTTTATATTTAATAATGCTTATATTAATAAGTTTTAATATTCACATTTCAGTGTGAAAATTTAGATAATGTCATTGATTTGACAAAAAAAAGCTAATGTCAGCGACGTATGTAAAAGTATGAAGCAGCAACTATTAATTCTTGTTGAATGGGCAAAATACATACCTGCATTTGGAGAATTGGCATTGGATGATCAAATTGCACTCTTAAAAGCAAATGCAGGTGAACATCTTTTTTTGGGTGTTGCCAGACGCAGTATGCATTTGAAAGATATCCTTCTACTTGGAAATAATTGTATTATAGTTAAATATTTTAGTAAGTTACATGACCAAATTTGGAATATTGAATGTACGACCCATTTTATAAAGAACACAAAATAAATAATATTTAATTGTTCATAATAAATAAATAATAAATCAATAAAATTGAATGAAGATATTTATTCTTTTCATATAAATATTATGTATGATTTATAAATTAATCCATTTAATGTTAACTTTTTAATTATAAAAAATAAAAATAAAATAAAATTATAATTTGTTCGAATATATAAACTATTTATGATATTCTTTATTCTTTCTTTTGTGATGAAATAGTAGAGATATAAATAGATAATTGATATGAACATTAATTCAAATTATTCATCTAAGAAAAAAAGTAAACTTCTCCAAGTATTCATGTATCGTTTAAGAAAATACTGCATGTCCATATTCCGAGTTACTTTGCATTTAATTGATTTTACTTTTTTTTACTGAATGTTAAAAATAAATATAGAAACAGCTTCTTAAATTAATGTTAATATATTATGTTTTTAATGTTAATATAATATTCGTACACCTTTGCCATATGATTTCTTGGTCAGCGATTACATACATCAATTGTTGGTGTCAGAGTTAAAAGAAAAAATACGTTTTTTACATGATGATAATTTCATATTGTTCAGGATTGAAGTACTTTCCAAGACCTTTGGCTTTCGGAATTTGTAAATATTTAATTCCGATAATTCTGGAATATTCTAAAGCTTTGTTTTCGAACGTCATATAACGTATATCCGGTCTCCGCATAGAAACGTCGGTTGGAATTCTCCGACTTTCTAAAGTTTTGCTTTTCTGGAATTCTCGAAACTTCTAAAACTTTAGCCTCGAACGTCCTGAACAGTTTTCCGCATAGCAGCACCTAACAATTGTTGCTAGATTCAAGCTGCCACTCGAACATTTAAAGTAAATACGTGTCGAAGAAGGGCTGCATTGTCAGAGCTACCACGAAGGTAACACGTTGTCTAATTGTTCAAGAAGAATTCAAAAACACTGTGATACAATATAATACTGTTGAGCACTATCAAAGTGAGATAGTAGCAATCTCTATGGCTAAGAAAATGGATCTACAAGCATCATGCAAAGGCATTCTCTAAGTATATAACTGCAGACAGCAAGTCCAAGCGTACAAGCCGGTCACAGATAATCAACCATCAGTGCACTTAGTAACAATTAGTGTCATTACACTTAATATCCGTGAGTGCTATTACACTCGCTTCAATCAGTCCCCTTCCACGCAGAAGCAATTAGTTCCAATGCACTTAGAATCAATCAGTGCCATTGCATTCAGAATCAATAAGTGCCATAGTACTCACTAACAATCGGTGCCATATTGAGGTATTGAACCATTTATTCACCCTTACAGACCACATAACATCAAGAAGAGACTCGCAATAAGACACCACCAAGTAGCACTACACTAAGGAATCGATCTCTCACTTCTCAGTGTGATAACCCATTACAAAGCGCAGCACGTCAAGAGGATCCGGAGATTGACGACCTCCTACCTCGACGTGTAGTGCATGCTACTACCTTTTTAAAGAAATAGAATAATTATTACAAAAAGTCACATTTTATATTATTCACTAAATTTTATATTGTTTTATTATTATATTCTATAGTTATTATAAGAAGAAAAATAATATAAAAATTATTGTCAAGCAACAACAATAAATGTATTTGTACACAATGTATTCGCCATTCCGGCTTGTTTTACCAAGGCCGGTTCGAAGGATACAAATTGATGCCGTTGACAACTCAGAGACCACGGGTGTTGTGTGATAGCGATGGAAGGTCACAAGTGGAAGGGATATTATAATAATACAATATAAATATGGTTGATGTATAAGTTGTTTATTCTGTTATTTATTTGATGACAAGGCTTGACTAGTATTACTATTATTATTATTAATTATTGAAATAACTCTTGTCGTAGATTAATGTACACTCATCTATGCAGCGTGATGAGTTGAATATGAGCGCAGAATGACGCGAAGTTGGATTCGTCGACATTCGCGTTGTTTGGATGAGACGTGCGTAGTTGAGTTTATGGTTGTAATGGAGAAGGACACATGTAACTGTTGTTACTTGAGGGATATACTCGTAGCGTAGCAAGCGTACCTTGTCCTGATATTGGCGTACTGCAATAAATTCAGATGGAAGTAAGAGTTTGAAGGGCTTTTACCTCATGAAGGATACGGCTACTTGTTGTGTCTTCTGCGAGCGTTGAATGGCACGCATTCATAAGCGTCAAACTTTGAACTAGGAGAGGGTAAGGCCGGCAGAGCTCTATAGTTAATTAAGAGCCTAGTCGTCTCTTGGTCTTATTGGCAAGAAGAACTCTCGTTGTTGCTGACGCATCTGGCGACAGCATGACAACTTGGAGGCAGCGGGAAGGGGGGAATAAGTCCGCTCGCACATAATGCTTGAAGTAATAACAGAGCGGAACGAATTCGTATAGATGTGTAACTGAGTGGGTTTTTCCCGGTTTATTGCATTGTTTTTCCAGTTGTTTTATGACACTATTGCTAGATAGTTGCGATCAAGAAAGTTTTGAAATCTAAACATAAGTTTTACGATGTTGCTTAGCTAGATTTTATATTGCATTAAAAAAGGTCTCGCAATCTCGAACAGTGTTTGTAACTTATTAATATGCAATTTTTAATTAATTTTTAAATTAGCATTAAACGTATAAAGCCATTCAATAAAATAACAAAAACATCATTTTTATGTAAAAATATAATATTTTTAAGAAAATATCGTGATATTTATTATAATTATACTGCCTTGAAACAAAAATTGAGCAAAAATGTATATGTGATTTTTGTTCTTTAATTTTTTTTGGGCAATAATATTATTTATGATACAAAAATATTTAAAAAATCTTATTTTGAGTTTATTTCACGGAGTTCAGAATTCCAGTCTCCCGGTGGTCGAAAGACCAAAATAGTTGGATTAGACCATATCCAACATTTTACTGGTGGAACTGTGTGAATAAGTGAGAGGTTAATGCTTCAATTCAGTATTCAACATAATTGCTTTTCGTGCTATTTACTGAGTACTAATTTACAAATACACAATTATGATTCTACGTTGGTGCTGAGAATCGCTGGATTTTGCCGTTCTTTATTGGTTTTTTCACGTGGAGTTAGCATGTATTGTAAGTCGAGGTTGGAGGTTGTCAATCTTCGAGTCCTCTTGGTGTAGTGCGTAAATCATTGACGCTCCTTGTATAGTACCGCGTTTCATGTTTTAAATTCGAGTCTCCTCTTGATGTATAAATATAATGATTCAATATCTCAATGTATCCAGAATGCAGTACAGAATGTAGTGGCGTCTTGGTTCTGTTGTAATACAGAAATTCTTACAAACGCATTACAAAGAAAAATTACAAACGCAATCTATTCCATTTATTCCTATTTAAAGTATTAAAATACTATTTTGATATATACACACACATATATATGTATATACATATATATTTATTTATATATTTACTCATATACATATGATTAATAGAATCATTAATACTTATAACTTAAAAGTGAAAATATAATATCTAAAATGAAAATGAAAGCTCTTTATTCCTAAATTCAATATTGTTGTATTAAAAATACATAAATAATAAAATCATTTATTTTCTCGTACCGTTATAGATATTGGCAACAATAAAGTTTTATTATTTTAGATGCAAAAGGATTAAGTGATATAAATGCAAATAAAAAAATTCGGCATCATATACAAACTAATCTAGAAGATTATATAAATGACCATCAATATAATAATAGGGGTCGTTTTGGTGAAATTTTATTAACACTACCTGCTTTACAGTCAATACAGCAAATGATTGACCAAATTAAATTTGTTAGATTACTTGGTGTTACTCATATCGATAGCTTATTACAAGAAATGTTATTAGGAAGTTCAATAACTGATTTTAACGTAGCTAACCAATTATTTAATACGACAAACAGTAATACTTATAATATTAATCGCATTTCCACACAAACTAATAATGTATTATTGGAATGTCATTTAAAACTCTAAAGAACATAATATTGCGATTTGAATATTATATGTAGTTAAATGATATTATCTCCTGCTTATTTTTGTGAAACCATGAATCATGAACCATGAAAGTGAAACTTTCTAGTGTAAATACAGTTCCAGTTACTTTTATCATATTTATCTGAAGAAAGTTTAATGAAATACAGAACTCGTTTTACAAAATGTTGATTCTATATATATGTGTGAATTCAGTCCCATTAATAAATTGTATATAAAAAAATTGTTATACGGTATTTTACAAGTTTTTAAAAATTTTTAAAATTTATAACTGTCTGGGATCAGACTAAAAGCCTCCCTGTGATGGTGGATGGAGGCTTGCTGGCAAGTGGAAGGGACAATGCAATAATTCAACACTGCCTTTGAATGTAGTATCTTTCCCTTTATTGAATAAAATAAATATAATAAATAGTCAGTGGTCTATGGATGTCGAATTGAATGTATGATACAATGAATAGATGAGAGTTTCTTCAATTAATATGAGCGACAAGAATCCTGTAAGTGTATTCTTGGTAGCTTGCTGCTTGATTCTCCTACTCGTAGTTATAAACTAGTGGTGGGAGTGGGAAACTCGCGCTGATACGGGACAGCGATAGTGCCGCCTTTGTCGTTGGCGTCAAGAACTGCAGCGGTTGAGTGGCGGACGCCTGTGAGACGTCACTGATAAGGGGCAGCGTGGTTCTCCCGTTGCCACTGGCGAGATGAACGCTGTAGCGATTTGGTGGAGGGAGAATATCCGTGTCGTCACTGCTTGACGTGTGGGAGGATTCCTCGTACCGTATACCACGCATTAGTATTGCTGCTTACTTAGTTGTTGGGAGCCGTGTATTAGTGATCCGTAAGAACGTGTATAATAGCGTAGCTTACGTGTGTGGAGTCGATCTCAGTTGCATTGATGGTACGTAAAAACGTGTGTAATGGCGTGGCTTGCGTGTGTTAAGGTCGATCTCTGTAGCAGCGTTGGTAGGCCGAGTGAGCTTGGCTTCCGTTGAACGGTAGTCGATCTCTGCAGTGTTGAATAGCCGAAACTAGTGGCTTACGTTGAGCTGGAGCCGATCTGTAGACCTCGATCTGTAGGACGGCGATCCGATCTTGATGAATGCTTGATTGAACTAGTAAGAGAGCGAGAGCGTCAAGCGCGTCTCCTTAAATATCCTAGCACAGGCTTGCGATTCCGGTGAATTCTGGATCACTCTTGTCATGCTGATTGTTAGAGTGACGTCACTAGAGTTTAGCCTTGGAGAGTTCGTCGGCCTTTGTTAGTCGGAATTGTAATGTAATATTCGACTATTTTGAGTCGTGAAGTTTCCCGATTTCGTAGAATTGTGTTTATGACTCGGCGCGCAAATTTTCTACCCAAGCACAGGTGTTTTTACCTCTCCTACTTTGTTTACTGCGTAAAATTGCTGTAAACCGTAACAGTAAATAATATTAATTTTGAGTTTGTTATTGTTTATTTTATTGGTTAGTAGATCGATTTTGTAAAAGCATGTATTACATTGGATATTATATATTATTTTAGAAAATAAAAATTAATTCATTTTTTAAATTCTATTTGTTTATTTTATATTCTTTACAATACGATTTCTTTCTTTTATTAAACAACCGAGAAAATACTTATCGCAATGAAATTGAATATCAAAAGCTTAAGTGCAGAAAAAAATTTATTATAAACTACTACCTAGCAAAATAATTGATAACAATATTAGCCACGTATATTAAATTTTTAATAATTATATATAAACTTATCTCGGATGCTACAATAGTGCAGGAACAGGATCGTGACACTAACTACAAAATAACAAGTAAATAAAAGAAAACAAACCGAATACATCTTTTATCATCCAAATTTACAATTACTTGACATACAAATTTATTAATAAAGAAACAATAAAAATTGACAAATGTATTTTTAGTAAAACCAATGTTTCTTATTTGTTAAATATTATAATAATATTACACCGTTGTTGAGAGAGAGAATTATTCTATTGTAGTGGATAGGGTGGTTCCTTGTGTTCTTTATTATCTTAGATTCTATGGATATTACTGTGTATCTTGTAATTGAGGTTGTGCTGATGTTGTAAATATCAGCCGGTGTAGTCAATCATACTCATGAGGTAGCATGAGAAGATGGTGTTTAAAATAAAATATGCTCTGTAGAGAGAATGATAATACCGAGCGTAGTTTAAAAATCAATTATGTTTTTAATTATGATGGGAGCAGTTGAAAACTAGTCATACGCAAGAATCATAAATAAGAAACCTTCGAGCTTTGAAGGACTCGATGACAATGTATTTGTAGTTGATTATTCTATAAACTATTGTCTTGTGAGGCTGTACCGTGTTCGATGTTAGTTCGAAAGAGCGTACTCTTTCCCTATTTGAAGGGCTGTACGGTGTTTGAAGTGTTAATGCGAGAGAGCGTACTGTGTTCTTATCGACTCGATCGAAGTTTTCTTAAAATTTATTTGCGAGTGTGATAGCTTATTTAATGATAATATAAAGAGATGTACCTTGTAAATAACATATAACGTATGTTGATTTACAGCGTGGCTGGTGTGCCTCTTTTGATTACGATACCAATTGGCTTCTCTGTAAAATCACTACCTGATTTTGCTGATTCTTTTTAATAATGCGCGTGTATCTTTAGATTGATAGCCGAACGTGCAGCCACGTATCGTCGTCACAATATATACTAAAACACTGAGTGATAATAATAGTTAAGTGAACGCGAGGTAGAATTACAATGAGTGTATAAGCCTTTGAATACACGCACGAATCGAAGGCTTGATCATTCCTGGCTGCTGAAGATGCGGCCACGTATAAACCTTTTGAATACGCGCACGAACCCAAGGCTTGATCGTTCCGTGGCGGCTCTGCTGAAAATACCGACCCTTCCATGGCGGTCCTGCTGAAGGCAGACCGAGACCCGTGCCATGGCTTCTTCTGGTAGAGGGTTAGATCGGTTCATTGTAGTTTCAACTAGTTATCAGTTCAGTAAGAGGTAGCTTCAGCGAGGGTGGTTCAGCAAGAGAGCGAGGCACGCCACATGCTTGCCTTATATATCCACGCTTAGTTGGTTAGTTGGCTGGCAAAAAAGCAGCGTCGTTGCTGCACTGGCATATTACTTGAGGCACAGAAAGAAAAATCTAGATGTTTCAAGAATTCGAAGAAAGAAAAATAATCAAATAAAAAAAAATAAATAAAAGAAACGATAGAGATTTCCGGGCAATGTTATTCCCCGAAGACCATATAAACATTACCGGCAATTTGAAACCAAAACATAACAAGTATACGAAAATTCTCGAAAATTCTTCGTCCAAGCGTTTACAGAAATCTAAAATCTAAAAGGCCGGCGATGCCTGCAATCGGCGGTTTTAAACTGGCTTCAATCTCGAACATTATTATTTTAGAAAATTACTATCTTTTGGTAGATTACTGTTAATAAATAATTATATATTTACAGAATAATTAAAAAATATTCATGATTAAAACAGAAAAATAACTTGAGAAAAGCAGTAATAATGCAAAAAAGGAATCAGTTATTAACAGTAAAATATTGTAGTTACAAATATAATTTTTATAGGACTAATACACTAAAGCCTAACCAAGAATAAAAATATATGAATAAGTAAGTGTGATAGTACAAAAAAGTTAGTTTAGTTAGTTAGTTAGTTGTTAGTACTAAAGTAAGTTGTGTTCTTGGATGTCGTTGATGCTATGGAGATTAATGAGGATCTTCAATATCGGTTTTATACTGATGTTGTAGGGATCAGCATGAGTAGTAGACCATGCTCTTCAATGAGCATTGGAAGATGGTAATGGTAATCAATAAGAATTTGTAGAGAGTGCAAGCATACTTAATAGGAGTGGATAAGGTATTCACTGAGGTAGTTGTTATGTAACTGGATCATACTCCAAGGAAGAATGGGAATATTATAGTGTAAGTCACAAGCAAAAAGATTAAATCAGTAATAGTTCCTTCAAGGACGGAAGGGACTTGTCACCAATCTTAAATGGCTGAACTCTAGCCTCGACAATGTACGTACATGCAGAAGGTGAACGTACGGTCTCAGCCCTACTTGGCTAGAGAGCGTGTTCTGTCACCAACCTTATTAAGGCTGAATTCGGGCCTTGACAATGTAAGTACATGTAGAAGGTGAGCACGCGGTCTGAGCCCTGTTCGGCTTGAGAAAGCGTATTACGTCACCAACCTTGTTGAGGATGATTTCTAGCCCCGACAATGTAATTACATGTAGAAGGTGAACGTGTTGTCTCAGCCCTGCTTGGCTCGAGAGCTTTTGTTTCACCAACCTTATAAAGGCTGAATTCGGGCCTCGACAATGTAAGTACATGTAGAAGGTGAGCACGCGGTCTCAGCCCTGTTCGGCTTGAGAAAGCGTATTACGTCACCAACCTCGTTGAGGATGATTTCTAGCCTCGACAATGTACATACGTGTAGAAGGTGGTCTTATGGTCTCAGCCCTGTGTGGCCTGTGAGAGCGTATAGTGTCAATTTTGTAAGTGTTACGCGTGGCGTGATTCGAGCGAGAGTGACTAATTTTGTACAAATAATAATGAGGAGGTACCTTACGATTACGATTTCAATGACTTCACTGTCCGATTGCTACCCTGGTTGCAATAGATTCTTATAATGTCGCACATCTGCCTTTTAGATTGATTGTCTGAGATTTTCGGTTGAAATTCGTGCAAGTGATATTGATATAATAAGTATGTGAAACGTACTGACTAACGGTAACATTTTAATTAACGAGTTGTAGAATTACAGTGAGCCATGGTGCATAGCGCGCTGTTGTTAAATGCCTGTTACTATGCCGAAAATCGTCATGACGTCAGAGAACGAAGCTCTGAAATGTTCTAGAAGCGTCGAAGCGACAGCCTTGGAAGGTTCTAGAAGCTTCATCGGCGTTGATAAGCGGAAATATTGTCGTATTAGAATTTACGATGTAGGAAAATTCCCGGAGTCGCTGAATCGTGTTTACCAACAAGAGTGTCCGAGAGCTTGTAATTTTCCCAATTTTAAATTCGAATTAAACTGCTTTAATCCCGAACAAATTGACTATATTAATAATAAATATTGTTTGAAATTTCATTGCACATCTTAATTATTTTTTTGCCATTTATTTATACTTCCATAATTCTCTCTCTTAAATCAATGACTTTATAAATTAGCACTTCTATTTTCTTTAATAACTTAATTTTTTCAAGGTTGTATTATTTTTTTTAGATTAATATTTTAACTTTAAAGACAATATTGAAATTAATAAGTTTAGGTGAAATCGAACTCTATTTTATATATGCAATTACTAATGTTTAGAATATTTGTAGAAAATAAATATACTTATAATTAATATAATGTGCAAAATATTCCTAAAATGAAAAATTAATTAGCTGTTCTATAAAGATATAGTTTTTATAAATTAACTTTCTTAAAATACTACGTACTTGGGTATATGTAATATCAAAATTATTAATTAAATGAAGTATAGACATTGTATGGAAAATGTGTAAATATTAAAAACAACAGATATATACTAAACTGATTAATTTCATATGAGAATAAACATGTTTTTCCTTTTTTGTATAGAAAGATAAAAGTAAAATAAAAGAAATGCTTTTTCATACCTATCTTAAGAAGCTACAAATATTATTAATTTAGAACCTATTACAACTAATATTTAAAGATAGACAAATTTTTTATTTCAATGCAGTAAAATCTAGTAAAATAATGGGTTAAAAAAACAGTTTATTTTTAATATATCACCATTATTGTATAGTGTGAAACTATATTAATTTATATATTAAAATGCACTTGGAGTAACGTAGATTAATCAATTTTTTAATTATTATTTTATTAACTTTTTTCTATATTTATAAAAATGAACCAACGTTATTCTGATCATATTTTATTATTTATTTTCTCCATAATTAATTATTATCATCAACAATTTGGTTTCTTTATTTATTTATTTTTTTTTACATTTATTTCATTTTAAAACGATTAACTATATTCTTATTACTTATAATAAAGAAATGCAAAAGATCCTATAAAATATTTATAGGAAATAGTGTAAAATTACATAGAATAATATATAAACAAAGATTAAAGCCAATATAATTTGAAAGTACGAACATAATATTATTTAATTAGAAACTATATTATTCTGTTAGTTTGGAATGCTTCAACTGTAGAATTACTAATTAACAATTTATAATATAAATATAGTAAATATTTTACATCATTAAAGTACTTAATCAGATAAAAATTTTCTTTCTCTTAATATGAAAATAAATGTTTCATATTTTATTAAACAAATAATATAATTCAATAAAATTGAACTAATAAACTTATTAAATTAAACTAATCGTTTTATCAAAATGTCGGGTGGAGTTGTGTTTTTTGTGTGTATCCCGACAGCTACTTATGAATATACTATATTATTTGATACTAAAAATATTCATTATAAGAAAAGAAATGCAGGTATTGAAAATACAAACATAAAATCTGTTATAAATTCATTTATCATAAATAATAATGTTATTTACAATAATGAAATAACAGAAAATGAGGTTAAACTTAATATAATTGATGATGCTGATTCGGTTCTACGTAGTCCACCACAGAATAATTTATTTATTTCAATGGAAAATGTAAGTTTATAATAAAGATATCACGTAGCGTTAATTAAAGAAATATTTATTTTATTTTATTTATTTATTTATATTTATTTTTATTTTTATTTATTTATAATTTTAAATTATAATTTATATAATTTATAATTTTTTTATTTATTTATTTATTTTTATGTATTTATACAACCGAATTACTTTTCTTTTTCTTTTGTTTCTACATATTGATTTATACAAATTTTTGTCGTTTTCATTAGTTCCAAGAAAAATCATCTTTATAATAGTATGGCCTCTCAATTATAATGTGCCTTGTTTCTTACATATGTAGTTTTCTTGCACATGACTATAATAAATTAACGTGCTCTTTTTCTTAAAATCATCATATTTTTCGATATAGATTGATGATAGATTATAATAATAAACTCAAATACTTTATTAATATAAAAAATTATATTAATAAAAAATTATTTTTTAATACTGTTTAATAAAAATAGATTTTTCATAAGATTAAATTAAAATTTTTTAAATATCGAATTTTTTATGACATAATAATGTGTCGAATAATTGTAAAGCGTGATTATTTTTTAAACGCTCTTCTACAAATTTTACAATTTTCTTTGATCTAATATAATTATTGCATTTATTATATAATAATTGTATTTATAATATTATAGCTTTTAGATCAGTTACTGAAGAAACTTAAGATTGACCATGTCTTCTGGTACAAGGACAGAGCAGATATGTATTACGAGGTAATTATTACTACGGTAAATTACTATAATTTTTAGTTATTATTATATCTAATTTATTTTAATAAATCTTATATTAAGCATTTTTTGTGTCAATTGCACTGAATTGTGTAAACATTTATTAAAATTTTGCATAAAATTCAAGAAGTAAAGATCGATGAATAAAATATTAGAGAAATATATAACACGTATTCAGTTTTGTTCAAGATTATCATAAGCAGTCTAGATGCCTTGTCATAAAGGATTAAAGTTATAAATTAAATCACAAGAAAAACGTCTGAACTATAATGGCCGTTATTAATCGAATGAGTATCCCCATTATCGATACTGTACTGTTTTTGAAGATGAAAAGATGTTTTAATTTATGAATCATGTTCTTAATTCTTTGTTGATATGTCATATTTATTGAGAAACAATATGTTACTGTTGCATAGGACTGAAATAGCTAAAATAAGTTAAAACATTGCAGCAACTAATTATCCAAACGGATTTTATAATTTAAAATGTACTTTTTCAACAGAAAATACAGTTTAAAAAAAAAATTAAACAACATTAACTTCTTAAATGTATCATTTTATATATACGAAATAATAGTAGATGCTCTAATACTAAAGATAAATACTGGGAATGAGTGGTATCTGTAGTTAGTTGAGTGAAATAGTTAATAAAAATTCTATTTACTTAGGATCTATACTCGAGAAAAAATTGTGTATATAATTTTGAATTATACTCAAGAAAAAATTGTATATATAATTTTTTGGATCATACCAGTATAATAGTTAAAGATAGATAGATATAAATGTTAAGAATAATGTTAAAAGACTGTCATATATAAAGTAGCTGGGTACTTTGACATGAACATTCACTCGATTGTGAGAAAAGATCATATTATTAACAAGTTAATATACAAGATTATAGTTAATAGACGATGATTAAGGAACAAGTTTTGTATGCTAATATCAGAACCAAAACAGTAATAAAGAAATTGTTAAAAACTCACTCTCATAAAATTTAAACCTAAGAATTTTTATCGAATAACAGAATATAATTGTAGAGTGGAACCTTATTAATTATATCACAAATCAACTCAATGCAGTGTATAAGTTAAATAATGTAAACCACGATGTTAATATGGTCCAATCACAGATCACGGATAAAATACTTGAGAGAACTTTTGTTAATAATATGTCTATATATTAATTAACAGAAATAAATTTAATCATATCAAATTATAATGAATAAAAACAAATTACAAAACTATTATATACTTTTTATAATAACTATTAAAATAGAAGCGATAAATATTACTATTCTATGATATTTATCAAAATTTTTATTCTCAATAATGAAATAGCAAAATTCGCAAAGGTTGTAAAACGATATAACATTGTAAAACTGCATGAATTTAATATTTAGAAGGTTCTAAAAAATCATGAAATTTAATGACATAGAATATATACGATATATTAAAAATATTACCAAGAAAAAATATCTTAATATTATAATACATAATAAATAACAGAAATAATATACACGATATATTAAAAAAGGTATATTATAGGATAATGTCTGGGATCAGACTAAAAAACCTCCCTTTGACGGTGGGTGGATGTTTGATTTTAAAGGTTTAGTTTATCGCTCGAAATGCCAATTCAATAGTTCAATGGATTAGTCTCTTTTCAGGATAACGTTAAAGAAAATAATAAGTGGAAGGGCTGAAAAATATTATATATAATGTAATTTTAGTAAGATGAATGTTTATTATTTGATAAATTATTATAATAATATTGCACTGTTGTGGAGAGAGAAGATTATTCTATTGCAGTAATGAGGGTGTGTTCTTGTATTCTTGATTATCTTAGATTCTATGGATATTACTGTGTATCTTGTAATTGAGCTTATGCTGATGTTATAAATATCAGCCTGTGTAGTCAATCATGCTCATGAGGTAGTATGAGAAGATGGTGTTTAAAATAAAATGTGCTCTGTAGAGAGAATGATAATACCGAGCGTAGTGTAAAAATCAATTATGTTTTTAATTATGATGGGGGCAGTAGAAGAGCTAGTCACACACAAGAGTTATTAACGATAAGCCTTCGAGCTCTTGAAAGACTTAATGAAATGTATTTATAGTCGATTAGTCGATATTATGTTGTCTGGCATAGACAATGTGCTTGACGAATTGCGTCACTTGTGTCGATTCTTGGGGGACTGTACGAGGTTGAAGCGTTGGTTCGAGAGAGAACGTAAGTTTGCCGATCGACTCTTGTGGAGCTGTATGGGGTCGAAGCGTTGGTTCCACCAAGGGAATGTGAATTACCTGATTTATTCTTGTGCGAGTTGTGAATAGCTTATTTATTAATATAAAAAATGTACCTTGTCAGCTGCAGACAAGGTGTGGAATTTTACTGCGTAATTGATGTTCCTTTTGATTACTATTCTAACTGGCTTCACTGTAAATCACTACTAAATCTACCGATTTCCTTTTAATAATGCACACATATATTATTAACTATCTTCTATTATCTAACTATCTATCTATTAACTGTCTTCGTCACAGTATATACTAAAATACTGAGCGGTAATAACAGTTAAGTGAATGCAAGGTAGTTGTACAATAAGCGTATGAGCCTTTTGAATACGTGCACGAACCGTAGGTTTGATCATTCCATGGCGGTCCTGCTGAGGGCAGATCGAGCCCCGGTGCCATGGCTTCTACTAGTAGATGGTTAGATCGGTTCACTATGGTCGGTTCACTGCGGTCGGATCACGGGAAGATGTTTGCCGCAAGCGCAGTTGAGCAAAGGTGCTTCGTAAGAGAGCCGTTTAGCAAGAGAGGCGTTCAGCGGGAGGACTGGGCAGCAAGAGAACGAGGCGCGCCGCGGGCTTGCCTTATATATCCACGCGACGGCTCACTTAGCTGGCAACAAAGCATCGTCGTTGTTACACTGGAATCTTAAACGAGGCGTAGAAAGAAAAATCTAGAACTTTCGACAATTCGACAAAAGAAAAAGTATTGCGTAATACCGATAGAAAACTTCCGTGTGATGTTATTACCCGCAGACTACATAAACAGTACGGGCCACTTGAAATCAAAACATAACAAGTAGACGAAAAATTCTCGTCCAAGTGTTTAAAGAAATCTGAGATCTAAAAGACCGGCGATGCCGACAATCGGCGGTCGTGAACTGGCTTCAATCTCGAACAGTGGAGGTGTTGTTGGCAAGTGGAAGGGGCAATGCAATTATTCAATACTACATGCAGTGTTTCCTTTCTTTCCTTTATTAAATATAATAATGTAATAAATAGTTATTAATCATAAAGTGTGTGAATGAAGGTGTGAGCGAATAATTTTTTTGGGTAATTTAATGGGTAATGGGTAAAAAATAAATATTTTTTGGGTGATTTGAAGAATTTATTTATATTTTATTAATAATTGTATTAATTCATTTTAAAAAACTTTTTAATGGATTTCATTATTCTAGATTTAAAAAATCATGCATTTTAATTTATATTTCACGATAACATAATTTAACTCTTAAGAATTAAAGTTTTTTTATTATATTTAGCATCAATGTTTTATTGTAATATAGGTAATCTTTCCAGTTGCTAGTGGAGATTCATGTGAAAATTGTTTACATTCTCTTGCAGAATTTGGTATTGGTATACGGATGAATTCTATAGTTAGGTAAGTTCTTTATGTATTAATAAATTACCATTTATGTTTAGATAAGTGTAAATAACGTGATAGCAGATATATGAAAAATTGAATAATTGAATAAAGTTATAGGAGGCCATTAATTACTTGTTATATATGATAGACTATTATATACTATAGTCTTAAATAAGCATTATGATTAATTCTTAAATATAACAATATGGCTGATGTTCGGGATTGAAGCAACTTCAAAGACCGTGACTATCGGCTTTGCTAGTCTCTGTAGCTCTCAAGTTTCTGTAAATACTTGGGAGAAGAATTTTTCGTATACTTGTTATGTTTTGGTTTCAAATGGCCCACAATGTTTATATAGTTTTCGAGTAATAACGTCGCTTGGAATTCTCCAAATTTCGCAAGCCTTGTTTTCTTAGAATTTTCGAAACTTTTTTTTAGAGTTTTCTTACTGCGCCTCATGCAAGATTCCAGTATAGCAACAACGATGCTTTAAGGTAAACACGCGACGAGCCTCGCTCTCTGTCATTAAAACTCTATAGCAGTGAAACTCGTTCAGTGAACTCCCGCAGTAAAAATCTCTCAGCAGAGCCTCTACGGAACAAACAAGCTTCAATATTGTCCGTATATTTAACAGGCTTGTAGGCTCACGGTAAAATTCTCAATCAATCAGCTATCAGTAATTACTCTATACAGCAACTAAACTCCGCCATATACCAGTCAGTCAGTTTTACTTATTATACGTATATAATTCAGCGAGACTCGACAACAATACAGTGAACCCATTATATTTAATAACAGATTAAGTGAGCTGTAATTCAAGTAGTCAAGAGTACTGATTGCATTCTAAGAACGATCACGAAATATGAAGCGTAATACCTGCGCAGTTGTCACAGAATTTGGTAAGACTTCTGTGAAGTTAATTGTAAGCGCGAACGCGCCGGCCTCGTAAGGCATGGAAGGTGTAAGTGCACCAGCCGCGATAGGCATTATTACATTGCAAAGTTCCCACGAACGGCATTGAAGGTGCGAGTGCACCAGCTGCGATAGACATTGATTGAAGGGCCGATCACGCTAGCCGTCACGAGCATTACACGAAGAAGTACCACAGATTTACGACCTCGTACTATTCAGTGTAACCATTTACCATCAAGTGCATTAGGTCAAGGATCAGAATATATACAACCTCCTACCTCTGCATGTAGTGCATGCTAACGTCAAGTGACAACTACCACCGAACTGCAAGATCTTTTCGAAAAGCAAGATCTTCTCAACAACACCTTAGAATCATATTCATTGTGTAGTCTGTAAAATAAAGGCAAAAAGCAGCAAGATGCGCAACTGTGTTAATTATTGAATAAATACGCTAACCCTTTCACTTACCTGCAATTCTCCCACCGAACATCGGGGAGTTTTTTAGTCTAATCCTATACAGCTGATCATTAGTAATTAATTTGTTCGATACCAAATAAACAATTATATACACCATATAAAATGTGTTCAGTCAAATACTTACAAAATTATTTTTTATAACTATTATTGAATTCTATTTAGAAAAAATGAAGATAATGAACTACGACACTAAACAGGAAATATGCATTTATATATGCTCTGTGCTTTCCACATTAGATGAGTATTCGGGATTGGAACATATGAGCCACATCGGTAAGGGCCGCATCGTACATGTGGAAAGTCATGTAATTTTTTCACTTTGTTTTAACGCCCTCACCCGTGTTGTTAAAAACGTTTTTAATTGATCTAAGCACGGATATGAGGTGGATGTCCCAAATGAAAACTCCCATAGTTCCATTGAAGCACGGTCTAATTGCTGTGAGATTTGATATGCTAAGATATAGTTCCACAAATCTGGTGTTAAATCCAATGAAAGCAGATGTTTCATAGCTTCTTCTGAACTGTTACGAAGTTTTTCCAATGTAGCTGCGTCCACGTTGACTGATCTTAGCGGAGGGAAGAGCTTGCCAAGACTAGAATGAATTGATAGGTGTTTTTTATTGAAAGGTTCAGTGAGTAGCTTCCAGGCTGCGTCTAATGATTCCTTTGTCAGGGGGAATTCTATGATTAATTGCTGCAGTGACTCGTCTAACGAAGTGCGGAGATAATGTAGCTTTTCTACCTTGCTAATGTTTCCATGACGAGTGCCATGAACAGGTCGCTGAATCAATTCCAGTCTTCGTGTCTTCCAGAAAATCTGGGAAGTCTGAGCGATAGGAGTCGATTCCCGGTTGATTTTACATTGGATGGTGAAGCCTCTCCCATATCGTGTTCAATTATGTACTTCTGGCGAAGGTTGTCGATGATCGCTTGCGTAGTGGAGTATTGAGAGGATTCCTTTACAAAAGTGTTGTTTTCAAGATATTCGCGATCGCACTGAGAGGCTGGCCAAATTATTTCCAGGTATGCGTGTTCCTAGATGAAGGCCTTGTAGACATCATCTGCGTACGAGTATGAATCACAGAGTTTTTCCAAGGTGACATCATGTTGCAGTGAGGTAAATCTGTCTGCAAGGTTCTTTAATATTGTGATATGATTTGATTGTGCTTTTACTTTTATAATAAGCTCATGGGCAGTTGCGAAGATGTCGCACTTCTAAGAGATCCACCCCTTGCTGGTGTGATGGTTTTAGGAGTCTTAACATTCTTTGTATCTATTACAGCTTTCTCGGCCGCCGTAATTATTGGCGAGTATTACAGAGAGGTAGGAGATCAAAGCTCTCCGATTTCCAATTTGTGTAAGTGCTAGTTCGTGCTGGTCTATGAGAAGAAGAGGGGGCCGTAAGTCTCCGAGTACTCCTTAATGTAGAACCACGTGCTGTCTAGAATGCACTAATACAAGGCATTGCTGAATTTTTGAAGTTAGATGTGTGCATGATACTGGTGAGATGCACTACCCTCCATTGAATCCAGCTCGAAAGACTCAATGTTCGAAAAAGTGGAGCCATTCACGACAGTAGCTCAGGCCCATAAACCAGATGAAATGATGGTGCAATCGTCGAAAATACAGTTTATGCTACCTCTTCATTATTAGCCACAGCCATAGCAGAAATACAGTCACTAATACAACAGCACAAGCTCGTCTTCTCGTCGAACTTAACTTACATTCTGAACTTATATTCATCTCAACATTCCTCAAAAACATTCCATCATCTACATTCATGGAATTGGAGGAGCTCAATCAACCAAGATATGAGGTGTCGTGTCACTAACGCTCCACTCAATCCATTCGAACTCCATTGTCACAATACAGACTCATAGCCTTAAAACATTGACCACCATTATAAGACTTATACACAAGCTTGCAGTACTACCAATCCCTGAAGATGAAAAATAATCATCAACAAAATTGATTATGACGGCCGGTATGTTCGGAATTGTAGCATTTATTCGAGGCCTTCGGTTCTCAGATCAATTAACAATACTTAAGAAAAAATATTTAGTAGTGATGATAAAATCGTAAGTAAAAATAAAATAAGTATAATTATTAATTAGCTTAAACTAAAGAATCTTTAAACAATATCAGTATAGTAAGTGTTAAATAATAACAGCTCCTCTAGTTATGTGAATCAATAGATAATATCTTGTAGATTACATGGTTTGCAAATTATTTGAATTCTTGAGAAGATACAATAATTTTTTTAGTAGTAGTATATATATATATATATATATATAGATTATTACATTTTGTATACAAATATTTGTCTAAAATAAATATTCTCATTATTATTATCTTGTAATCTTGTAATACTATCTACTAATCTTGTGGTCTTGAAATATATTTACTATAAATGAAGCAGGTTAGAATCTATTGAATATTATCGCTAAGAGGTTATCATGATTGTAGTGCTCTGATCGAACACTGGAATGCCATTGTGTTTATCTTAACACGTGTGTAGTTGCCTTTAAATATCGGTCGTAAGAGAGCCGAGATGGAGGTTATGCGAAGCTGTGCGCCATCTGTAGCGGGAACAACTTGTAGTTGGAGGGATTGAGAAGCCAATGTGGCGTTTATAGCTGGTCTTGTTCAAGAGTATGTCCGGGAAGCTTCCGTAGTTGGACTTTATCCGTCCGTCTTCTACATAAGCCGAGAAATCAAAAATGAGGACTAGCTGTAAGGACTTACTTGCAGTGTATCGTGATTTTCCAGTTTTTCTTCGGTGGCTTGTTATGACGTTCCCTTGCAATGTTGCAACTCTTCAGTTCTTCCTTGTCTCCAAGTGAGACCACAAGTGGTCAGGTCCCACGCAATCCAGTCTTGATGAGATCAATTCAACTGTACACTAATTCACAATAGTGGAAAGAACTTATTATTAAAACTCAGCTAGCTAAACGACTCATCTCTCCGGTCCTCCTCCGTGAGAGTAGGTCGTGACTCATCCTTCAACTGTAAGAAGTATTTGGAAAGAGTAAGTGAGGGTACATTACGTAGTCCCTTCTTAAATGGTTCATTGATCCCGCTTCACTTGGGATCCCTTCTTCCTTTATTAATTAACCAATCAGTGGTTGATCTTGGGGAGCACAATAGATTATGCACGCCTTCATTTCCACTTCCTTCCGGGCTCAGTTCCGAATTTGCTAATCGGGAAAGTGTCGGAAGGGGGCGAGCCTTTTCCATTGGTCACCTCTCTTTGGTTGCCTCATCCCTCTCTGGGACTTGGCTAGAAGAAGGGTCCGCTGGGGCGTGGTCAATTTTCTAATACGATCGACCAGATGTGGCATAGCCAAGAACAATGCAAGTATTGTCTTAAACGCCGAGTGCGCACGTATGGTCATTGCATGTGTAGTACGTACGGGTTTTGGGTTGCAGTAAATATTTTGTACTCAATGCTTCACGCATATCTGATATTCGTTCTGAATCTACTTTGGGGTTCTCCCGGCAGTAAACCCATTAGGTTCTACTGCACTGGGAGTATGAGCACGTTCCGCTAGAGTTTTCCAGATGTTTTATGACACTAGTACAAATAATTATGAGCAGGAAAGTTTTGAAGTCTTAAATACAATTTTCATGACATTACTTGTCAGATATTTTATTGCCTTACTAAACGGAGTCTTATTCTCAAACAAATAAGATGCCATTTTTCTTATTACATATATTTATTTATATTTCAATAGAATAGTTAAAAATTAAAACAAGACTGATTAATTAGAGATAGCTTATTTTATCCCGTACTAGATAAAAATAAATCGTATCCCTACGACTTCAATTAACATAATAAAATGTTTTATCAAGACCTATTATTTTTAAGTACTACAAGATGATAATATATCATTTAGAATCTTTTAATGTACATTATGTATATATAGCTCGTATTCATAAAATCTGTAAATTATTTATTCTCAAAGCAAAATTTACTTTTAAAAAAATCAGGTGCATGTTCAAAAGTCAATACTGTTAATTTTTTCTAAATTATGTCTTTGTAGAATGAATTACTTATTTTTTTATATTTTTCTAAAAGTATCTGAATAAATATGTATGTGATATATAAAATAACAAATAACTAATTTATCATATACTCAATTACATAATACATATATTTCCAGCGTACTTCCTACTCAATGTACATTAAGGGGTTTAAAAAATATTGATGTATATGACGAATCGATAGAACTAAATCAAAAGTGAGTTGACATTTTATATATTACAATAAAGTTAAACATTTTATAGAAAATTTTAAAGAATTTAATATTATCAATTATAATGAATAAATAATTTTAAAGTATATACATTGTCTGTTTAATACAATTAGAATTTGAGAATAAAAGAAGTATATATAAAACCGAACATTTATGGTAATGATAAAACTAACAGCTTTAAAAATTAATTCATTTATAAATTGTAATAATAATATAAAAGGAAATCTTAGTCTAATATAATACAAAATAAAAAGTTTGGTAAAAACGAATTAAACATTTTATTTTAATATACAGTAATGGTAGAAACTTTATTTAAATAAAACTTTATTTCATTTGAAAATAAGTATGACATTTAACTGTATCGAATATTTTGAAGTATATACCAATTTAATTTGTTCATATAATTTAAAGAACTAGAATTTAAACTTAATGTACTTTATTACTATAGATAAACAAAAAATATCAAAAAATATTTAGCGATATACTTTGTTAAATATTGAAATTTCTGTAATAAATAATTACAATAAAATTAGATAACACAATAATGTTAATTTAATACAAAAATTTACAATATTAAAGATAAATCAAATGAAAATTATATTTTGGTTATATGCTAATCTTTAAATTATTAAAATTTGATACAGCTTATGACTATCAGCCAATTTATACCAAATAAAAATTTTAACTAAATGAATAGTTTATAAATAAATAATATAAATAAATAAAGACTTTTTAATTATATATATATTAAATATATCAATTATATATTCATTACATAATAATAAACCAGAGATTTTTTTCTATGCAAAATAAGCATTGTAACGAATTAAAATGAAGTAGTTTAAAAAATTATTATAATAGTTTATTAAAAATTAAATTAAGTAGTTTAAAAAATTATTATTATAGTTTATTAAAAATAATAGATAGAAGTGAATCAGACATGTAATGCTCTTTTCTATAAAAATTATATAAAGATCTATAAAGATGTTTATGGATTCATCTTGTATTCTGGATTAATGTTTTTTTGTTTTGCAGTTTCATATGATATTGATAATTTAACTTGCATTATTTCTACAAAATATCTAAATATAAAGTCAAATTATATTAAATTTGGTTTCATTGGTTTAAAATAAAAGAAAATCAATTAATTATTAAATGGACAGGTAATGAAGGATAATATTAGTAATAATCTTAATTCAATATTAAAATTAAATCACACAAATATACTGTTCGATTTTCTGGCTCGAAGAACCAATGCTCGATAGTTCAATTTAATTGGTCGCCCGCCTTAGCGGATGCTTAGGTAAGGACTAAAGTGGAAGGGCTGTAGAGATATACAGTGTGTGCAGACTTCGTTAAATATAGTTTATTATGGTTTAATGACAATTACATTATTGATGAGTTGAATTCACTTCTCATAGGAGAGTATGAACTATGTTCAACCACAACGATGTAGTTGCTACGTGTTGATGGTAACAATGTTGTAACTAATCTTGTAAGGATCAGCAGCGGATTGAGCATACTCCTTGGTAAGGAGCATGGCTTTTGGAATATAAATTGTATCCTTTGCTAATGTTGTAAGGATTAGCAAAGAATTGGACACACTCCTTGGAAAGGAGTATGACGCAATTGTGTAATATTACCCTTAATAGAAACTACCGGTATATCTTTGTGATAAGCAGTACATCAACCATGCTTCTTGTCGTCGAATATTTGCTTGTAATCCAGTCAACACCGTTGATTGCTTGTTAACTGATGTGCACTGGAGAATTGCGTGTGTTACTTCTGTAATGGCTTCACCGAGACAGCCTGATTCTTCTATGGCATCCCCAATAAAAGAGCGCGTATTCCTTGCATGGCGGCCCTGATAAAACAGAGCACTTTCTTGAAGCGTGCTTTCATTAAATATCTACGCCATAATCTAGTTAGTACTGATAGCAATGGAGGCGATTGTGATTTTAGAAACTATAGATGCTATTGTGGTGCTAATAATAATGGATTCGATTGTGGTGCTAGAAAGAGGCTGCGCAAAAACACTTGGGGTTTTACCTAGAAACCAGAGTTTTTAGGGGGTTTTCTTGAAAGTCTAACACTTGGAGTTTTCCCAGAAATTCTAATCCTTGGGAAATTCCCGAAACCTAAACACTTTAGAGATTCTCGGAATTTTTAACACTACATCATTTAAAAATTAGTCATAAATTGAAAATATATTTTAAATAAATATTCATGTACTTCAGATTTTCTATTTAGAGTACACTATTGGCAAGAATCCTGTATTGATTATCTAAATATTATATTTGTGTAGATTATTCAAAGTGTGTGTGCTTTGTACTATTTGATCCTTATTTTTTTGAAAATCAGATTAAGCATTAACATAATTTAATTGTAAATCATTTTTTTGTTTTTTATCAGTTCAAAACATAATTTCGATAAATCATTATATTAGCTATGCTTACATGATTATATAGATTGTACACAAGTATTTTCCATGGTATGTTTATTTCTTTTTGTGCAAAATATATTCGCCGTTCCGGCTTGTTTTACCAAGACCAGTTCGAAGGATATAAATTGATGCCGTTGACAACTCAGAGACCACGGGTGTTGTGTGATAGCGATTTTTCAATTGGCAATTGCGATTGGTAAAACAACATCGTAAAATTTGTGTTTAGATTTCAAAACTTTCTTGCTCGCAACCATCTATCAATAGTGTCATAAAATATCTGGAAAAACAATACAATAAACACGGAAAATACGTCCTAGACGAACGACGACATATCCCCGTATGTCCATTAACGCATTTCAAGAAACCGTCGTTACAAGTTCAAAAGGATCGAAGACATATCCACCTATCGAATTCGTCCATTAACGCAGTTCAAGGCAACAGTCGTTACACGTCCTAAAAGAACGAAGACATATCTCCATATATCCATTAACGCTGTTCAAGAAACCGTCATTACAAGTTCAAAAGGATCGAAGACAATCCACCTATCGGAGTTCGAAGACAAGTCGACGATTAGTCTTCGTAAGTAGTATCATTACTACAATAATCAGCTAAATCATAAGATTCAGAATACAGATTTTGGAATACTTCCAACTGAATTTATTGCAATATCAGGACACGGTACGCTTGCTGCGATACGAGTGTATCTATCAAGTAACAACAGTTACATGTGTCGCGCTACATATCAACCATAACCTCAATTACGCACGTGCTCATTCAAACAGCGCAAGTGTCGACGAACCAAACTTCGCGCCATTCTGCACTCATATTCAAACCATCACGCTGCATAGATGAGTGTACATTAATCCACGACAAGAGTTATTTCAATAATTAATAATAATAATAGTAATACTAGTCAAGCCTTGTCATCAAATAAATAACAGAATAAACAGCATATACATCAGTCATATTTATATTGTATTATTACAATATCCTTCCACTTGTGACCTTTCATTGCTACCACACAGCATCCGTGGTCTCTGAGTTGCCAACGGCATCAAATTGTATCCTTCGAATCGGTGTTGGTAAAACAAGCCGGAACGGCGAATACATTTTGTTCACTTATATTCTAATCTTATATTCTATAATCTACAATATTATTATACAATTACAATTATTTTTTAATTAAAAAAATACATTATATTTTTCGAAAACTTTTCGACAATTACAAAAAAAAATGTAAATACATAATTTACAACAGACTTTTTATAATACTGTACAAGAATAAATAGATCATTTTTATAGAATAATAAAATATCTTTCGAACTCGAATGTTATCATTTGAGGATAAATTCCAACGGTTATTGTTTCAACGAAAAACTTCAACGATTATCATTTTGTGGAAATAATTCAACGAACATAACTTCTAAGAACAAGATGAAACATGATTGAAATGCCGATATATAAAAAATGAGTGCACAATCACCTCCATTGTTTCTCCTACCACAGTCGAACCCATTGTTCTCAAGCTATCATCGGCCCTTTGTCTTCAGGTAACAAAGCTGCCGCTTAGATATTTAAGGCAAGCGCACGATAAGATAAGCGCTACTTAGTCGCAAGCTTTTCCAAAGCTAGTGCAGCTATTGCACACACTCTTAGCAGAGCCGCTACGGATGCCCTCCTCATCCGTCCACATTACAAGACAGCTTGGAGGAGACCAGCAATAAAGTTACCACCACATGGCATCACATGAAGAAGTGTCCAGAAACTTACGACCTCCCACTTTCGGTGTACCTAACATTTCACCACCAAGCGTACTGCATCAAAAGAATCCGGAGATGTACAATCTCCTAACTCTACATGTAGTACATGTCGACACCACGTGACAAAAACCAAGAAACGGCAAGATCTCACCGATTCTCATCTTCAACGTAAAATCATTATATTGCAGTTATAAAATAAACGAAACATCAAGCAAAGAAAGCAGACGTATTAAATACTCAATTCAAGAACCAGGCAATTGGTGGCTGTAGACTTACTCTAAATAAGTAATAAAGTAATAAATGCATCGTGTTTGATTAAGCATAAAATATTTGTAATTTTCACAATTTTTTACAAATTATCATTTTCATATTGCCAATATTTGTTATGACGTCAATATGGTAAAGCCATGGAACGTTCATCGGCATTACTTTTCGGAATTGTAACCGTATATTCGAGTTTTCAGCGTACAAAAATTTCTCGAATTCGCTGGCTTGTGTTTATAAACAAACTGTCCAGGAGCTCATACCTCTCCCAGTTTTGTATTCTGCTTTCAACTCCTCGCTTCTGTAACACATATACTATTTTTGTATTAGTAATTAATGACATAAAATAACCAGAATTTAAACCCTTGTTTATATCTGACTAATTTCCTTAATTACAAAAACATACATGCAATATTTTCTACTTTTATAATATTAAACAAATAAATATATAATAAAATACTTTTTTACAGATATAATAAAATTATAATTAATAATATTCCATGTGATAAAAGCGATACATGGAAAGAATTTATAGCCTCTATCCGATCAAAATTAACTGTGAAGCAAGTAATAGATGGTGTTCAAGATGGTGGCCAGTTAACATTTGATTTCGTTTTATTGGTATTAATTGCAGAGTATGTATACCAAAAACAATAGTTTGTCATACTACTTAACAACTAATTTGCAATTACAGTTACTAACTATCTATACATACGTTTTTAAATTTCTTATGTTAATCATACAAAAACTGATTAACAAAATCTTAAAATAAAAAAAAATTATTTGTTTTTATTAGTATATGAAGATATTTATTTATATACGAAGACAATTCCATTAAAAAATCTTCAATATTTATATAAATTTGCTTACAAAGATAATAAAGTAAAACATTTATTATTTTATATAGATTGTTCCAATAGCTTCATTTGTTAATAGTATATTACTTTTAATAAATTTTATTTGTTATTATATTCATTATTATATTATTTCAATCTTCCTATTATATTTTGAAATATTTCTTTTATTTATATATCATTCTTTTTTAATATTCTATCTTCTTTTTATACAAATATTCTTTGTCTTTTTTGTTCTATATTTTATTTTTTAATTAACTACGTCAACATCGAGAGTACACTCAAGTTATTCTCGTTAATCCATTTTTTCATTTTACTTTTTGACTTTTTTTTTTGACATTGACAACAATGTTATTATATATATATATAAATTTAATTTTAATGAATAATGATTGATAAAAAATGAAATTCAAAAATACATCAATATGTATGAACCTAAGTACGAAAATGTAAAGTAAAAACTTTACTATTTTTACCTAAACTTATGAAGACAAGAAAAACTGGATAATATTTTCAAACAGGGGATTTTTTAACCTGGAGAATGATAAGTCAAAAAAAAAAAAAAATATTTGTATATTTTATTACATATTAGCTTGAATAATAAACAATAGTTTATACATTGTTTTAAATTGTCACATATAGTCTTTTAAAATAAATTTAAGGTATAATACACATTTATATCTGCTATACATATTGTAACATTAAATAATCATATTTTTATTATATATTTCAATAAGAATGAATAGATTAAAAATGTATCGAATAATGATTAAAATGAAGAAAATTTTTTGTTAAAATTAGAGTGTCAAGAAGAATATAGAAAATTAAAAATATATTTAATAAGAAAATTTTCTATTCATTTGTTTTAATTTTATTATATAAAATGTTTTTAAAAAACAAATATATATTTCAGTTCTCTTGCTGCTCTTGGTTTAATAGAGAATAGTGCCACCAACATTGTCGCAGCAATGTTAGTTTCACCATTAATGGTAAATATTTATTTTAGAAATTTTATAAATAAAAGAATTATTTTTAATTTATAAAATATCTAAATTGAAATAAAATCATATCACCTATTGTAATTAACAATAAAAATTTATCATTTCAAAAGTGTCAAGGTGTAAGAACTTAGAATAAACAATAGAAACATATAATTAAATATTGTTTACTATACTTAGTGAGCCGAATATCAATTTACGAAATGATAGTAAATCTATTATAATTCGATCATTAAGTTTTCCATTTCTCTATAAATTTACATTTTCAAGCTCATTAAATCATAAGTAAATTAACATTTGTATAATAATAAGTAATAATAATAATTAAAAAATAATAAGTAAATTAACAAATAAACAAACAAAATTAACATAATTCTTAAACAATATTTTATAAATTTCGAATTATATTTATAAATTATAAATAAATAAAAATCTTACTGAATATAGCTCGTTTAAAATTTATCAAATAAATTATTGAATTATATATTATTTACAGGAAATATTGATTCAAAAACAAAAGTATCAAAATATAGTTTTTATAAATATAGCAGAAAGTTCTTCGGAGAATTCAAATGTTTCTCTTTAATATTAATTATTGTTCGGAATTGGATCATTTTTTCAATACTTTGAATATCGGAGAAGTACAAACCTTCTAACTCTCATGTTTGTAAACATTGATTCCGCGAATTCTCCAATATTCTAATCCTTACTTTCGAGTGTCTTACAATATTTTCCGCAGAGCAACGTCGGTTGGAATTCTCCAATCTTCTAAAGCTTTGCTTTCCTGGAGTTCTCAAAAGTTCTGGAGTTTTAGTCTCTGACGGCATGTAAGACTTTCGGCATACATACACCTATGCATCGTTGCCAGCTAAGTAAGCTGCCGCGCGGATATTTAAAGGAAGGCCTCACTATCTCAGTGAACCTAGCTCAGTGTAGAGGCATGGCATGGATCACGGTCTGTTTTAGCAGGATCGCGATGGAACAGTCGGTATCTCAACAGAACCGCCACGGAACAAACAAGCCATCAGATTCGTATGTGTATTCAACGGGCTTGTAGGCTCATTGTACTTATATCATTCGGTAAAACATTACAGCTATAAGCAATTTACTCAGTTACATCAATACATTGAAGCCATTACATTCAATACACGTTCGATTCTCAAGTTCGCAATAATTAAAAGCATTCACGAGTGCTGACTACAAAACAAGAACGGACACGATTACAAGAAGCAAAATTTCTAGACACTCATTCAAAGAATCCGACAAGGAAATTGTTTTACTGTAAGTATCAATAAAAAGGCCCTCCTACTAATGGGCAACTAACACAGGCACTAAGACATAGCGTGTGACGAATAAAGGCCAAACAAGGCCTGTTCGAGAATGCGAGAACATTTTTCCTTTTTTTGTCAGTGCAATCAAACATCTGGCAAGTAACATCGTAAAATTTGTATTTGGATTTCAAACTTCGCTTGCTCAAAATTTCTCACGCATTAGTGTCATAAAACATCTGGAAAAACAATACCATAAACACGGGAAAACCTATAGTTTTGACATCTGCATTTTCGTTCCGCTCGGCAACTCCATCATGCTTTACTGCAAGCGGACCTTCTTTCCCCTTCGCGCTGTCTACAAGTTGCAATGCTGTCACCAGATGTGTCAGCGGACCCCCCCACCCCCCCACTTGACGCTGTCAACATGTTATCGCATGCGGTAGCAGCAATGAGAGATCTGCTCATCATGAAGACCCAGAGACGACAAGGCCCTTAATTAACTCCGAAGCCAAAAGAGGCACTGTCCTCGCACTTTAAGGGAGGAGTCTCTGATTGGACAGAAAATAAGGGAAGGGGTTCACGTCAAATTCATGGTCAGCAAATGTATGTAAGGGGCGCAATTTTCAATACTTATTTACTTTTGATACTTAACTCTCTTAATACTTATCATTCGTGATATTTAACTGTCTTGATATTTACTCTTGATAGTTTTTCTTTAGTAGTATTTTCGTGATATTACTCTTTTTTGAAGTGTCTCTCTTTTATTGATATCTCTCTTTTAGTAATATTCTCTCAATATATTAAACCCTTGAGACATTTCATACTCAGTAAAGTTTTTAGTAAAAGTCTATTTAGTACTATTTCGGGAACGACTTACACTTCTTCGGATTGTCCATTAACACTGTTACTGGTACAGTAGTTACTACCCCGGAAGAACTACGACATAAACCCGTATGTCCACTAACGCAGTTCAAGAAACCGTAGTTACTTGTTCCAAGGGAGCTAGGACAATCCGCCTATCAGAGTCCGAAGACGAGTCAACGATTAGTCTTTGTAAGTAGTATCTACTACACTAATTATATATATATTGAGATTCAGAGTATTACATCGACAAGCAATAAGGACGAAGAAGCTACTCTTAAAACGACAGTGCGGAATAAATTCCAGTACGCGTCGTCAAGTTTCGCGCCCGCCAAGGGCATCTCACTTCGTAACCCTCACGTTAGTGCAAGTTCGGAAGCTTACGAAAGTAAGCAAAACCCAACGCAAGTGTAGGCAATCCAGTTTCGCGCCACTTGCAATATCTTTCAATCATAAAGCCGCATTCATAACCTCAGCCACAAACGTGCTCGTTCAAAAGGCGCTAGTATCGACGAACGAAACTTCGCGCCATTCGCCATTCATATTCAACAATCAAGATGCATAGATTATTGCAGAGTTGTCTCCGCAATACATCGCTTCAATCAAGAATTTAGTTCTACAAGTAATAATAGTAATACTAGTCAACCTTGTCATTAATAAATAACAGAATAAAAAGCATATACTTCAGCCATATCTTTATTGTATTATTGTAATATCCCTTCCACTTGTGACCTGTCATCGCTACCACGCAACACCCGTGGTCTCTGAGTTGTCAACGGCATCAAATTCTATCCGTCGAACCGGCCTTGATAAAATAAGTCGGAACGACGAGCTACATTTTGTACAAGGCCCTTCTAGAACGAAATAAGACACCATGTGTAACTAATAAAACTTTTCCAGTGAGGAGATCTCAATACGTTAACATCACGTGGCACTACATAAAGAAGTACCAGAGATTTACGACCTCTAATTTTTCAGTGTAATTATTTATCACCTCACAATATGTCAAGAGGAGCCGAAGATTTACGATCTCCTACCTCTGTATGTAGTGCATGTTGTTCGGATTTAAAGGGTTAGCTTATGGCTCGAACTACCTATTCAATAGTTCAGTGGGTTAGTCTCTCGGCAGGATAATTTTAAAGGAAATCAATAACAGACAAGGCTGAGAAATATAATATATTTATTTAAAAACAAGGTTAATGATTGTAAACAATTATTATAATATTGCACCGTTGTGTAGAAATAAATAATTCTGTTGGATTATTCAAAAGATGTGTTCTTGTGATTTTTATGCTATAGAGGCTTCTTTGGATATTGCTGTGTTGCTTTGAGGTTATGCTGATGTTGTCAATGTCAGCTGATGTCGTCAGTCAATCATGCTTGTGAGGCAGCATGAGAAGATGGTAGTTGAATCAAGTATGCTTGATTGATGAATAGCTATACTTGATGTGGTGTCAGATCTTAAATGGAATTTATTATGTAATCGATTATGTCTTTGATTATGTACAA